AATTTAATTTTTAATATGAATTATTAAATGTATGCTTCTCTGTTTTACTATTAAAGGAAACACAAGTTCTTTAAGAATATTAAACATAATCATTTGCTACTAAGGATCCAGCATCAGTAAACTTTTCTTCCCGAAACACTCTGAGAAGTGAAGCAAATTCCTATTAATTCTTAGTAGATCGGTTTTTAAATAAAACTTTGGAGTGATATTTGGTAACTACCTTTTGAACAAGCAAAGTGCAGTGAAGGCTAGCTTAAAACTCAAACGGGGACTATGTTATACGTTTCTCTACTTACCCTTGTAGAATGTGCAGCTCTTATACATTATAAAAGAAGAATTGTCCACAGAAAAGTGATCCATGGATTAGAGAAGTCAAAAACTTAACTATAGCTTAAGTTAAACAGAAAAGGAAAGGTATTTAAGGGGACTATGTTATACGTTTCTCTACTTACCCTTGTAGAATGCCCAGCTCTTATACATTATAAAAGAAAAATTGTCCACAGAAAAGTGATCCATGTAGAATGCCCAGCTCTTGCACCTTATAAAAAAAGAATTTTCCACAGAAAAGTGATCCATGGATTAGAGAAGTCGAACATTTAACTATAGCTTAAGTGAAGCAGAAAAGCAAAAGATATATAAGTCCAAGAATAGAGTCAGGCACAGTTTTTAGCTGTATAACTATAATAAAAATAATAATACTAATTTCCCAACAATGAGTATAATGGTATTATTAAATCTGGTATAGAACATAAAATATATGTAGGTATATTATATTTGGTTTAAAAGCTGCGTACTAATATAACTCTACACTTTTACTTGAAGATATCTATTGACTATTATGATGCGTTTAAAGTTGCCTGAAAGATGGAAGTTACTTTCACCATAGTTATCTCCTGGTATTGTGTTTGGTATACCATTTAGTCATCTAGGTAAAATTGAGTAGACATATCTACTTTCGTTATCTTTGTCAGGCTAGTAATGAAACGGTTTCCTTCATATTGTAGTTGCTCCTATTGAATTCCCGGACAAAGATATAGAAAGTGGTTAATGGATTATATTTAATCTTTATCTTAACAACTGATGTACAGTCCACTTATTGAAATACGTTAACGTTGAAGCAACACTACGATGACACAGTTTCTCTTTTATACTGCAGTAAGTACTCATTTTCTTTTTATTCCTATCTTTACTCCTGTGAGGTTCTTACAATCTCACAGTCTTCATGATTTCTTTACAAATCAATTGTCACTGCAATAGTGAATTCCTCTATGCTCCGAAAAAATAGAACATCAGGGTTTGTGTAGATGAGTCGGCGTCATTTATATACATTTCCGAAACACTTCCGACCAACTCGTGTAACAGACGAGTCATTTCTATTTATTGCTCTTATCTCCAAGATTCCAGTAGAAAAAGATCTTGTTATGTTTAATGTTTATCAGTGAGACATAACTAGATTTACCATCTCGGACTGCACTTCAAATAGATCTTGAAGGTGTCATTAAGCATACCTTATTTAAATTTTTGGTGATTGAAACAGATAAACGAAGAATTGTTATATTTGTTTAAAATTTTATTATAATACATTAAATGTGTTTTGTTTTACTATCCTTTATATGTGTATTTAATAATCCTGACCGTATGTTTTTAGTTACGAAGTTTGACGAAGGAAACTTTTTTCAATGTCATACTCGTTGCTTTTATATAGGTAAATCGGAATATTTATCATTCCTTAGAGACAGTTGTGGTTTCCTCTGTATTAGATCTTGGTTTAGAGTCTGCTGCTTTTATAATAAGAACTCAATATTCTCAACTGCGTAGCATGTATATAAATTTGTCATATATTCTTAAAAGCTTCATGCAGGTATAGTTGGTCCAATATGAGTACCAGACGTATTAACTAAGAACTTTTCAACTTTTTTCATAAAATCTATTAAAAAAATTGTAAGCTGATTAAATATAAATATATAATTAAAATGATAATAAATATATATCTGAAATTTCATTATAAATTATTAATTTTTCAATAAATTAACTCTTTTTATAATTATTTTTCGATATATTAACTAACTGTTTAACTAACTATTTAAAATATTCTTCATGTGATTGTTAATTTAATTCATTTGCGATATTAAATTATTTTTTATAACTTTTCTAAATAATCTATGTTTACATAGTGTCGTCTATTGAACTCTCAAAATTTTGGCTAATAGTTCTAATTAACCTAAATTAGTAGTTTTATTCGCGTTTAATGTAAACAAAAATCCCCGACAAAGTTTTCGGCGCAATAGGTTTTTTGCTTGACTTTATACTCGTATTGGCGTTTTGGCACTTACGTCAACGATTTTCTCAAGAAACTGACTTGTTTACTGTACTCAGTTGACTATAATTAAGTTTTTGATATCAGAAGATAATTAATTGTTTATTTTCGCAATGCATACTCAATACTTATAGTAAAATGGTGTTGTGACCGCTTGGAAAGGATAACTAATTACCGCTCAATGTAAACATCGTCAGCTGTTGGCGGTGAAAATTGAATGCGCAAAATCGAAACTTTTAATGAGCAAATTTTCATTACACAAGAAAAAAAGTTACTACAGAAATGGATACAAACTGCGAACTTAGTTCGTTGGGTTTAAGGGAATAAGTAATGAGCACATTTGCACATTTGCACATTTGCACAACTACAAATAATTAATGACTGAAAAACCAATGTTCACCCCAGTGAAAGCATTTAAACTACAAATTCGTTGGTTGACTGTGAAACTGATATCCTTGATGTTGCTTCAGTTTGTCGTAGTAAGAGGATTAACAAATTGATTGTACTGCTATTGGGTTTTAAAGAAGTTTTACTGTTGGTCAACAACGGGAAACAATACCTACTGGCGCTTGCCATTTCCTATTAAAGCTACGAAACATGTATTGTACAAGGAATTTAATATGAGTTCAAGCGGTTTCCATTTGTATAAATATACTTTCGAATCAGTTAAGGTGTAATTAATTAACTATTTATATAAGTTATTTACTTTAAATCATTTGAAATTTAATTACACTTCAAATAAACGTAATTGATTGTAGATAAATATTCTATCTTATTGATGACTTAAACCTGTGATTTAATTAAATATTTCACTTAAATTACGAAAGTTGTTTCTTCACAGCACCAATTAATTGTATAAATGTTCAATATATACATAACTAATTTATAAATACAATTCAGATATATCTTTGTGTTTTTATACAACTACCAAACCAAAAATTAGTTCTCATGTTATGAAGTTTTTTAACTTCTCCGTTTGGTCAGTAATATTTATCTCAATATTTAACATGCGTGTTAAAAATAACGATATTAGACAATGCTGACACATACATTTCTTTCGAGTAAACCCCTTTAAAGAGATCTGATGAATGAGACTAGTTCCGCAGTGCATTTCAAAATAATCTCGTTACTGTTGAAAATACATAATAATTCGATTGATTTATTCAAGAAGAAATATATATTATATCTTTTAATTTATGTGAATGCAACTCGTCGGTTCATATCAGTTCTTCACGAGGAACTGAAGGAAGAGGCGGTTCTTCTACCTACACATTTGAATTATACAAAATCTTGCAATGCTAAAAGCTCGAGAGTTAATCTCTTAGAACATTGTGATCATTGCCTAACTAAATAAATTTAAAAAATTCAGTCTTTACCGAGTTCCTAATACCAGATAATAACGGAAGTTTTTGTCTCAACAGTCTCAATCTTTTTCTGGTTAAGAATACATCACATAATCACAGATAATCACAAAAGATGTCTCCCATTCCTCTTCTGTTAGAAAATACATTTTTTGCCTTCAGACAAACCTACTACACGTTTGGCTAAGATCAATTTCCAGTCTGTCACAAAGAAGGTGTCCAAAACTCTTATTTCATTTCTAGCAAAGGCGATATCTTGTCACCATAGACAGACCAATCCCACGCCTTGACCAAAGTTAAAGTCAGAGAGTGATAAACGATATGTTCGAAAGAGTTATTCATTTTTTGACAGAGGTGATATTTTATCATATTAAACAGATCAAGTAGACAAAGGATGCAATCCAAAGTCTCATTCACTTTCTGCCATAGACGACATTTTGCCAAATCAGATAGACTTGTCATAAATTGTATTCAAGATTAAAGTCGGAAAGTCAGTAAAAATGTGTCTGAAACTCATTACATGCACTTTCTGGCAAAAACGATGTTTTGTCAAGGCAGATAGACCTATTATAAATCCCACCCAAGATTAAAGTCAGAAAATCCTAAATAAGGTGTCTAAAAGTCTCAATCACCTTCTGGCAGACACCATATCCTGTTACTTAAAATAGATCCATCACATCTCTTAACCAAAGTCAAAGTCATACAAAGGATATGTTCGGATGGGATCTGTCTGTCTCCTTAGACAGATCAATCAGATTCGCGACCAAAATCAGATTCGTATAGCCACAAAGAATGTATCCAAAAGTCTTATTCAGTTTCTAGTGAAGACGACATCTCCTTAAGTCAAGTACATCTATCCATAAATACTAACAAAGATTAAAGTCAGATAATCATAAAGGAGTTCTTCAAAAGTGTCATTCTTTTTGAGACTCATTTTTGCGTTCTTATATCCCCTTAGACAGACTCCTTAAACATAAATCCTACATCAATATAATATAAGATTTTACAGAATTTAATTATTTTAGCTGGAGATTTTCTGGATCTCATTTTGTAATTTATTTTTTATAATAATTAAAATATCTTAAAAATATTTTTATTTTGCAGTGTACTATCCGCAAGCCTCTAAATCATTTCTTAAATATACTCACACATCACAAATAAAGCTTTTTTTCAATGAAAACATTGCTTTCAATGCGAGAATACAAGTAGAAGAGTACAAATCACCCCAATTTCTCTTTACGTTCAGTGGGTGGATTAAGGGACATACACATTTGAACACTCTTTTAATATATAAAATAATAAGGGAAGGAAAAATATAATTTAGTATCCTAAAAGGAACGTAACAGTACAAGACGCGTTAAGTAGCAACCGGAAGCCACGCGTTCTTTAGCATTTTTGATTTTTAATCACATTTTTCCTAAAGCATTTTTCATTGCATTTTCAGTTTTATTTTTTGTTGATTGTGTTGGTGCGCACAAAAGTATGCAGTAGAAAATATTTCAAAAGGATTAACAAATCTCCTGAAGCAAGGAAAACAGGCTTTTTGCAACATTTTCCATATTTTCCATACGCCAAAGTAAAAGAAGCAGAAAAAATAACAACTTTTCATTTAATTTCCGTGCAGTTACATTTTCCTTCCGAAGGCAATGTAAGTGAAAGTTTTTGGCTTGAAATTGTAAATGAAAAAGTTCATTGACTGTGTATTTGCAGTTGCTTCTCATGAATTTTTTAACTGGAAAAATCCTTATAAAATTGTGTTAAGAGTTTATTTGTGTGGCAAACTTAATGAAAACTGTGTTGATTTAATGAGAACCACTAACTACTCAATTTTACGAATTAAGGATGTTAAGTTCTATTTAACTGTTTTAATGTTTTTGAATGATATTAATTAAAATTTGATTAGAGTATTTAATTAATTAATTAATTATTTCTTAATTACAAAAATGTAATTAATTATTTTACAATTCATTAAGTTTACATGTACACAAATAATACAATAAATATAAAAAATAGAAGTATGTAAATAAAAGTGAAGATGCAATATCACTATGCCATATAGGGTTTTAAAGTAAAATTTAAGTAAAAAAATATAAATAAAAAAAAATAAAATAAAATAGAAATATACGCATAATCAAGTTTATTTTGATATTATAATTAAGTGTTATTTAAGTGTATTTATATTATCGTACAGTGTGTACAGAGTATTCTTTCTGCTCACATTGAATTAAAAGTTAATCATACGCACTGATTGAGTTATTGAATGTTATGAACTTTGAAGGAGAAATTTTTATACTAATTTAAACTTGAACTTATTTTAGTGTGAAATATTATTTATAAATTTTCAAATATTGATTTTATATTCTTATCATTTGAGTAAATTTTTTTGAACATGCAACTGGTGGCTTTAAAGGCATATCTGGTGTATGTCTTATGTGTGTAGGTTTTATACTTCATTTTATACTTAAATGAATTTGTATTTCTATAATTATAATGCAATGTTCAAATATAAGCGAGCAGTATCTATTGAATTTAATATTTATAGATGTGAGATTATTTTAGATAGCTCTCATGATTAATAGATATTCACAAGCATACTTCCCATTTGATTAGCTATTTATATTCATCATCAACATTTCCCAATGTGGGTAGTACCGAAGCAGCTACTATAATTTTCTATATTTATATTATTCAATATTGTGTTGATAAATATGTTCTTAATAACTTTTTAGGCGTAAAATGATTAAAGGACTATAAGCAAATTACTAGCTTGAGAACATGCATCTTTGCAATTGCAATAAGTTCTGACAAATTTTGGCTTAAAATTTTTTTTACGTAGTATTTCAGTTATTATACTTAAGGTTGTTATAAAAGTTGGCGCAATTTAGATTTCCCGCCTATTTTGCGCAACATTTTCTATTACGCTATATGTTGACAACACGCTAGATGATGCATCTATTTCTTGTTGGTAGTTATTAACACTATTATAATCGCCATAACTCGAAAACTAAGCTCTATAGACATACATAATAAGGCACAGAGTTGTTGAAAATAATTGTCTGTACTAAAATGTAATGTCAAATGGATTGATTCGACAAACTGGGATAGTGCTACTTATTGTTGGTAATTACTAATACTAATATAATCGCCATAACTCGAAAACTAAGCTCTTTAGACATACAAAGTAGGGCAAAGAATTGTTGAAAATAAATGTCTCTACTAAAATGTGATGTAAAATGGACTGATTCGACAAACTGGAATAGTGCCTAAAATTGTTATATCTACTACGTTGTTTATCAATATAGTGCTAGATGGCGCATCTACTTACTTGTTGGTAGTAATCACGTCAACATATTTATCGTATCTTGAATATTAAGCGCTATTGACATACAAAGTAGGTATAAGAGTTGCTCATAGTAGCTGTCTTTACTAAAATCTGTTGCCTAAGGAAACTCGCTCAAAAAATCAGAATCGTGCTTAAAATTGTTATTACTTCTAAGCTATTTCTAAATGTTGCGCTAGATGGCGCATCTATTTATTGCTAGTGATAATTGTGCTTATGTAACTAGCATATGTGGAACAGGACACTATAAAAGAGTAATTAATAATATCTGTCTATACTAAAATCCTTTGTCAAATAGGCGTACCCGAAAAATAGAAATTCGGCCTAAAAAATGTGTTCCATTAAAAGGTTAAGTTTTTATCAAATAAGTTCATCTTTTGTTTACAAAACAAATAATTCACAAAAACTATAAAAACTGAAAATAGTCAAAATAAAGTAAGCACCAATGTTTGTTGTCACATGGAGTAGTAAATAACATTTATTTATTCACAAACATTCGAAAGTAAAATTAAAATAACTTTAACCTTTTTTAGCCACCGACACATTCAGTAAAAATTACATATAAAAAAACGTTAAAAGCTATAAAAAATGAATTTATAAATGACAGTAAACACGTTTTACTATTTCATTTATTTTAAGTGCAGAAGCGAACTACGGGTCTAGAATTTAGCATGTAAATGGAAAAAAAGCTAGAAACTGAAGTTGTGTTAACAGTCAGTCTTTATTTTCATAGCTACTACGTTTTCAAGTGCTCTTTTATTTACTACTGAAGGTCCTTTATTTTCATATTTGCATTTAATAACAACATTACATGCCAAACAAACAGACTAAGGACTTCTTTAGCAGAGAGAGCTGCTATGATGAAAGCATTTACACTCCCTCGTGCCCAATGAGGTTCAGGTTCGTTTATTTGTCAGCACATGACTTACATGTTGTCCTTCGGAGGAATTTTTTTAATTTTTTTCCATAATGTAGGTTGAGCCGGAAAGGAAAACACTCTGTCATTACAACAAATTGTTGCATTTATTATGCACATTCAATGTACAAGGATATAATCGAACTTCTGTGCTATTACGGTGACTGGGTTCGAAATAAGGAAAACTTTTCCTAAACAAAAGTAAAAGTGAAAAATTGCTGCCTTCAACTTGAAGAAAATTATGTTATTTTATTACTTAATTACATGCAAGGAAGCAATTTATTATGGCTCCTGTTAGACGGGTATACTTATTATTCTAAGATAAGTTGGAAGTATACTTTTATCTATAGAACATATACAAAATCAAGGGAAAATATACTATTTCTGATATTTTAAGTAACGTTGCTTGAATAATACTTAGTATGATTGGCCAAACTTTTTCATAGCTTTGTTGAAAATTACAACCTATTGATAATATTTTGTTAAGTTGAAATAGAATTGAAATTAAATTTATACAAAACCTTCAAAGTTTCCAAGTTTACTTATGTTACAAAGATAACTTTTGACACTAACCACTCAAATCAAGTCTAAAACAAACTATTTATCAAATAATTTGAAACAAAAATTGACAACGAGCAAATAAACTATGTCTATTTGGTTCACAGCCAACCCAATCAAATTATCTTCATCTCGTACTCTGGTACTATCTAGCCTGCAGTGAAAATATGACAGTTGTGATGTTATCATAGTTCGTGGAATGACATTCCTATTTTAAAAATCAATTGTTATTTCCTACATACTTTTTTAGTCTACATATGGGCAAGATACGAGTATTATTTATTAAGGTAAATGCTCACACTGCAAATATATGGGGACTTTCTGTATTGGCCATATTAGAAAATTTACTCGTATGTATTACATTTGTTACTACTTCGATTACTTTCGAAATAATCATTTAGCACAATTTACTAATAGTAACTTAAAAAAACCAGTGTCGATTTTCACTCGCCATTATTTCGATAACGATAACATATTATCGTTACCCAAAATCAGGTGTCGATGGGCAATACGCGGAAACGAATACGTTGATAAACAAATCAGGAAAGGGCCAGCTACACTAATGGTGGGCCGGAATCTTTCTGTGGATTAGTTCATTGTATCCCCCTTTCTCTAATAAAACTGAAAGAGAACCAGAACAAAAAGGATTACTTCCTTTTGTTCTGGATTACAGAACAATGCAAATTACTTATTGGTACCTATAACAATAGGATTGTATGGACTAATCAAAAGAAAAACTACACTAATGGTGGCCCGAAATCTTTCTGTGGATTAGTTCATAGTACCCTTTTTTCTCTCATAAAACTGAAAGAGAACCAGAATAAAAAGGACTACTTCCTTTTGTTCTGGATTACAGAAAAATGCACATTACTTATTGGTACCTATAAGAAGAAGATTGTATGGACTAATCAAAAGAAAAACTTCAAATCATCACACGAATCTTAATAGGATACTGTAAACTTAAATCACACCTTAGGAAACTGAGCATATATACGGATGTAAGCTGTAAATTCTGCAAAGATGATGAAGAGTCAGCCACACATATACTGTTAGAATGCCCTACGCTAATGTACATACCGAATAGACTCCTGGGAATGTGAACCCTTACGGAAGAGGCAATAAGACTCTGTACAATAGGTTGTATATTACTTTTTATCGAAGCAATCGGGCTTAGAGACATATTCTAGTTGTGCCACATCCCACATCAATATTATCATATCGTTATTCTAATTTAAATATCGATAATCTTGCACCTTGCTATTTCATTGTTCTAGATATGTCCTTTATCATTTACAAGTACTCGTCAATATGTTAAGTTAAGATAATATCCTATTTCTTCAATATAAAAAAATTTCCGAATAAAGCTATAGTGAAATAATTTATTTTCTCTGTTAATATACAAATAGTAACTATATAGAAGAATTAAAAATTTCTCAAAAAATACTTAAAACTAATAAAATTTACCTTTAATGTAAAAATATTTATATGCAAACCGAGAACTATAAATCATAAGTTTCTTGCAGTCACGGCTAGTCAAGGTTCATATTTATTTACTGTCGGTTGAGTGGTAAAAATTTCTTCGAAGGATTTGTTGATAGCGAATCAAATATACATTCCACCATAAAATACCAATTAAACTACTGAATGGCATTGAAGGCCCTTAAATTGATGAACTTAAAAACATTAAAAAATCAATTGTGAATCAAAATTTTTGCAATATCGTTTTATTTGTTATTGTAATAAAGGATGAAAGATAAACATTGTATGCATAGCTATTTTATGTATCTACGAGTAGTAAACGTTAGTAACAATAAAAGTTTAATAAAAAAAATTATTGCGTTTTAAATCCAATGAAAACTGCAACCTGCAATGTGCAATGCTTAACTCTGAACGAAGTTGTGAGCAAATAATCGTACCGCGATGTCCCGAGTCAGGGACTTGTGAAAGCTACTCAAACTGCCAACGAACAGTAAAACTTAATTTTATTAAGCGATGTAGCAAGAGAAATGGACTGCATATAATTTTATTTACTATGACGGGACAACTAACAGAACATTTATAATTTTTCATAGTAAATAGCCCAGCAAGAAATCGTAAAAATTTGTGCAATTTTAGTTCTAGTTGAATGCACTTAAGTATGATTCATGGGCAAAGTAAAGTTTAATAGATTTTAGAGTGACGTATAGAAAAAGTAAACTTTTGTATTTGAAATTGTTGTGCTGTCAAAAAATTAAATTTATAACATAAAACCCTTAATATTATGCTTAAAAATTCTTAATATAATAAAATATTGAAATACTTATATTGGATTATATATTAAAAACATTATACATATATTTCAGGGACCGTAACAATTATCATTAAAAAAATAGAAATCACCTTATAACTGTTATCATTCGTATTTTAAAATAAAACTCAAAAAATAATAATTATATTTACTTTATATTATATAATTCAAAAATAATTATTATCATGTGCGTTTTATTTTTTTCACGAACAAATAATTCTTACACTCTGCTTTTTATTTTAAATGTGCGTTTTAAAACGTTTAACTATTATTTTTGCTTTAAAAATATTAATATCGAGAATAACTCTTATTTTTTAAAGCAAAATATAACTCACATGGTGTGCCTGATATTTTTTAAAACAAAAATATAAAAACAAATAAAAATATATTAAAAGACATAACATATATCTATTTGTGAGTTAACACAAAAATGATTTTTACATTATAATTATAAATAATTCATATAAAAATATACAATATTTATTTATTTGAGAGTTAACACTAAAATTGATTTTAAATTGAAATTAAAAATAATTAATTTGAAAATATATATTATAAATATATTTATTTGTGAGTTAACACAAAAATGAATTTTAAATTAAAATCGAAAATAATTTATATAAAAATATTTATTATAAATATATTTATTTGTGAGTTTACACTAAAATTAATTTGAAATTAAAATTGAAAATAATTCATGTGAAAATATTTATTAATTATTTATTTGTGAGTTAATATTAAAATTAATTTGAATTTGAAATTGAAAATAATTAATAAAAATACTAATTATTTATTTATTTGTAAGTTAATACTAAAATTAATTTTAAAGTAAACTAAGAATAATGCACTAAACTGCTAGGTCCTTCGCCCTGAGAATATAAAAATATGTAAATTAGCACTATATTTATATTGGATATATATAAAAAATTCATATAATGAAATGTTAAAATAAATCAAACAATACTTTGGACAGGCACTTAGTTAGAGGGGGGCTTTAAGTGCGTGAAATCCTTCGAAATTAGTTCTTCGAGGGACTAGTTTTTACATTTTTAAATTACTGAAATTACTCCAAAGCCCATAATATTCTGCCGAAGATTATATCTAGCTATGAACCTGACTGTGTATATTTTTACCTGACTTTTTAAAAAATATTTTGAAAAACTATTGTATTAATTTTTAATTAATTTATTTTTTGTCTAATAATTTAAGTAAAATATTAAACATTTTTTTACTTTAAAAATAATATATAATTTTTATTCTTTACCAATTTTTAAAATAATAATTGAAATACTTTCATCATTCATTTATTCTTTCAGTTATTTCAAAAAACCCAATCAATGGGCCAAACTTGGGGCACTGAAGATATTCGCTCTGTAAATCTATCTGTGCCGACTGTAAATCTGTAGATGCCATGAAACATTCATTAACGTAAGCCCCATGAAGCATTGAAATTAATTAAATTCCACTGGAATACGAAAGTTTGCAACTTACTTTGAACAAAGAAAACGTTTCCGGAATGCATCAAGTGCTCAGCTATGAAACGGCAGTACGTGCGAACAGTTCACGGGAGTTTCGGGAATATGTCACCAAGCGTACTTGTGTCAGTCTTGTCCTGACAATTGCATTCTTCACACTCATTTCAGGTAAGTTCTAGGACGGAAGGAATGCATGTGAATGTACAAAGTGAAATATTTCTGTGAAAGAATATGTGGAAGGATATATTTGTCTTCGAGAAAAAATAATTTCCTTAATTTAATACAAATTGAAATACTATTAAATGCCATTGGGAAAGGTTAAAGTATGCTTTCAGTAGAAATTTTTGCTTTGAGGTAATTAAAGGCAATATGAAACCCAAAGGATGATAGTAAAATCATGCGTATGTAAATAAATACATATTGAATTTATCCCATGAAAAAGGATATTTTATTGAATACAAAATCAAATTAAATTCCAAAAACAGAAATTAATTAAGTTTTGTGGTATGTGACAAAAGCTGCATTTGTGGTATGCAACAAGTTGTAAACTTTACTCTCCACTTGTCAAGTTTTTCAGATAAATATGTAATATTTGCAATACAATTTTATAAGTTTTGAACAGTAGATAATAAATTCCAATTATTTCTAATACAAAATCAATTATGACTGATATTAATTGTATTAAAGGAATGCTCAGTTTGGGGTCATATGTTGAGAAATGTTATAACGAAATTCTACAAATAGATTTTGATGAGGTAAATATGTAATAAATTTTATTGTATTATGACAAATTTTTGTGAAACAAAATTAAAATAAAATAAATTCAGAAATATTTATATTTAAGAAAGTGATAGATACATATAATATATATTTCTTTCGTATTTCAACATGTAATAAAACAAACCTAACGCAAGTAAATAAATTTTGCTACTGAATACTACAAGATATTCAATAAACTTTGGTTTCATCTAGAACGTATATATAGACTAAGTTTTTGCTATCCATAATTTTCTAATGTCTAAATTTTAGGATAAGAGTATGCAATATGCTTATAATTATTTATAATAAGAAGCATATACTTTTCAAATCAAATGCTCTGTTAATAAATGGAATGATTTATGCACCGTCAGACTGACCGTCGTTAGAATGGTGTGTCCGACTTTTTATTATCCAAATATATATTATACGGATTAAAACACCTTTCTTCGGCGATACTTATTTTCCATCGGGACCACTTTCGCATTATTTCGAGGAGGGTCTCTTTTACATTGGAATTTCAAGCCATGCTTTCATGATTTTAGATCTGCGTCCAAAGCTCCACTCCACTCTTTCAATGCATTTTCTTGGTGTCTGCATCATTTATTAGCCTAGTTTCTGAGTCTCCTTTCAAGGTCTAATATCTTCACTATGAGGACTTGAATCACATATAGCTCTATCGTTCACCAGTTTGGGTATTTTGGAATTCATTGGTCCAATCTGGGCTATTATTTCTTATATCTGGGCAGCACCTCATATAGTGTATTGAAGTTAATTATGATTTTGATGTTAACTAAAATTTATATTTTTTTTTTGTATTGGGATTTCTAAAAAAAATTAATAATTATTTTCTTATTTCACAGGATATCTTCTAGGAAATTTTGTATCGGAACGAAAATATCATCTTAATAAATTATTGCTGAAAAATGCGGTTCCCAAGGATAATCAAATAGAACTAAACAGTGAAGATTATACCAGCCTAAAAGAGATACATGCGTATAAAAAAACGAAAGAAATGCTATTAGCATCTGCTCAAGCGTTCACCAAGAAAATGATAGAAGACAAAGGCCTATCAAGTTCGTTAAATACACTGATTTTTAATAAATACATATCGTGCACACAGGACATACCGCCCAATACTACAATTGAATCCAGCCAGTTTATTGAAGAATTGATCGATAATACAGCTGCAAGACAAAGGGACTGTTTACGGATTATACAAGTTATCATTGACAACAATATGGGAAATATTTAAAGGATACTTCGAAATCGCTACAGATCAAAATGGAAAGAATATAGGCCAAAAAAATATTTATAATAATGATAACAAACTCGAACTTTTTAGAAATCATATTATTTTTTATAACGACTTTTTAAGTAGATAAACGGAGCAGAGTGGTATAGAAGAGAAAAGGGTAGAGACATTATGTTTATATATTATATACTTTTAATTGAAATACATAAGATTGAATCTAAAAGATTAGTAATTATAAGCCTGTATTTTATTTTATGCATTTAAAATTTTCTAATATGGATATATGAAAAAACTTAAAATTTCTAAGTATATAGATACTTAAAAAATAAAAATCAATAAAAAAATCAATATCAATGTACACACTGATTTATTGACATATAGAAAATATCGAAAAAACAATAAAATATAATTAGAATTGTAATACCTACTGGATGTTGTAAGTCATTGTCTATTGACCCGATATAACATAACTAAATTTTTTATTACATTATAAATGTAGTCTATATGTATAACTTGTATTTGTATTTAATTGAATAAAACGTTTATAGATGTGATGCATTAAGGCAATAATATCTTTTTTTTATATTTTTTGCAACCAAAATTAGTACAATGGAAAACCAATAAATTTAAGATTAACATTAATAAATTAAGTATACTCGTATTGACTTGAGTAGTAAGAGATTTCATAAGCAATTAATCTGAATTATGAAAAACTATTGAGACAGCTATTGTTATATACTGAAATAAACGTGTAGGCGTAGCATTATAGCTTAATATTCACACTCTTAATACTGTTGACCTTTTAAATGCCTTAACACCTTATTAAGTTGTAGCATAATGAGGTAATAATCATATATCATTTTAACACCTCTTCAGTGCGTTTTCGCAGTACGCAAAAGATTGTTAAGTAAATTATTTAAAAAGTATTTAATATCAAATAATGCGAAAAGCTATTATTTTATTTCAGATAACTAATGTATAACTGATTTTATCTTTTATCTTCTATCTTTTATCTTCGAATACCAGCAATTTAATTTAACGCATTATTTATTAGTTGCACTTATTTCTAAGTTCCGAATCTGTTAAATCAATCCAGTATTGTAAAATAAAATTACAACTGATTTTAAATAACCTATCAATTATAAATACTATCAGTATTTGGTCTTCTCGCAAAGCAATGGGAATTATATTACGAAGTAAAGTTGAAAAAATTTTATGCTTTAATAAAAACATATATATGATAAATAATATATTAAATATATAATTCTCTTTGCTTTAATGATATCAAATAGATATATGATATCTCGGGGAGATATGCAGATCTGAGGTCAATTATTGCTTAGTCTAATGAAGTGATAAACAAAAATCCAGTCAAGGCGCAAAGAGGGGTTTTGTAGAAACCTCGCAGTTAATAGAGAGTAAAAGTGCTCAGGTGCACTGACTCAACTCAACTAGCCTCAACATAGTAGTAGATATATGATATATTATATAAAGAATTTATAATTCTCATAACATTTAATTAAATTCCCGCCTATATAAATTTACGTACTTAGGCGTATTAAAATAAAATTAATATTATGTATATCTTCGATTTTGAAATATCGATGCCATATTCTTGCCATTAATTTCGATAAAAAGTTAGTTAACGTATCATATAAAAGAAAAAAACTGCTTTAAAACAACATTATCAGTGCAGTTAACTATAAAACATGGCTAGTCCTAGTACTGTGGAAAGTACATGATGGATAAACATTAATACAGATTTTCTAGTAAAGACCAGTGATTCTTTGTAACGTATTTATTCATCAATTTGGTTTCTTGAGAAGCAAAAGCGTTCACATCACTGCAATTTGTTGTGACAAATGCAGGAAACAACAATACGAACTACTGTTAGATTTTATATCTTTAATTTCTTTATATGCAGCCCATATGTAAGGATAGATCTTACTACATAATGAATCGATATTCAGTCTCAGCTTACATACAAACTGTGTTATTGAAACTAAAATTTGTATAAGTATATTTTATCTGAAGTTGCAGGTCTTGAACAAATAGAAATTACTGTCACTTTAAATTTACAATAATTGCTGTTGATTACAGAGCAAATATATTACGTTCAAGATCAAGCAGAGAGATGTAATAACAAAACGGTAAATCCCAGATAGGCATAGGACCACCGTAGTCATTAATTGAATGTGTCTGAATATAAAAACATGCAACAATTTTCAGACAACCGCTATAGATAAACTGATTGAATTATAACGGGTGCCGGAAAATTGTTGCAGTTTCATCCGACTTGCCGCATATAATAGTACTCATGTAGCATAGGTATATGTACAAATGAAAGGAAACTATCATATCTATATATTTGAGAAATAAATGTTGTGTGAATTAAAAATTGAAAAAATAAAGTGGGTATACAGTAAAGAGCTTTGGCAGCGGAAATGTGATGAGTCGATATGTAAAAAAAATTCAAAGAAGAAAGTGATAGACTAAGAGAAAGACTAGATAAAGTCTTAAAAGGGTTATAAATTTGGTACCCGTCTGTTAAAAGCATAATTAATATTTTTATTATTACCAAAAAGTGTTGTATGTATGGCCTGATACTGAATATTTAGAGATGATTAAATAAAAGCCATTAAATTAAACTTTATTCAATCATTACAAATTATCATTGGTCCAGTTTTTGATTGAATATTTTTGATCATATCTTTGTATGATTAATTAAAACCAAAATCAAGAATTTTCTTTGGGTACTTAATTAGAAGATACGGTAAAAATTCTATAATTTTTAATAACCGCAATACTATAAATTTTCATTTCTACTTTTACATTTTTCTACTATGCCAAATCATTATCATCCAGTGTAGTAGTCTCTTTTTATCGCACTATTGTTCCAACGAACAATACCAAGAACATTGAGTTCTTGGTTGTGAGTTGTATGAGAAAGTCGGTTTAAAGAACTCAAAGTCGTTATAAAATATAAGAGATCTATCTTTCTGTAAGTGATAACTCTTTAAGTAATGCAAATACCAACAGTAATTAAATATGTTAAATCGTAGATCGAGATAGAGGTATAATGGCATAATGGTTATTTTATGCTGAAAATAACTTATCATTTTATATTGAATATGTGTGATATTTAAACAAAATATTAATTTCAAATATTGAAATATATTTCATTAATTCTTAATAGCTGCTTTAGTTCTCTTGCCAATAACTTGAATGACAGCTTCTAACTTTTCAGAGGTACTGATAAGATAGAAGTCATATATTTTTAAACATAAAATTTATGACTACAAAAGTGTATATGCAGTTAATGATTTTTTAATAATTATTAGTTTTGTGTCATAATAATATATTACTCATATATGAGCATTGCTTGGTTATTGCGTTTACGTTATGCATACCACATTATAGAAGCCACTACAGATATAAACTTTCACCCCAAAGGAATCCTATTCAGAAACCATAAAAACTTCATTTTCAAAGCAATTAAAGTTTATTAACATTTTATAGCTTTTAATTACATGACACGCCCTTTGTCAATCATTAGAAGCGAAACGCAGCAGCGGATATACCGCGGTTGGAACAATAATCAAAGAAAACGCAATCCATTCGAAGAGAAAAGTAAGTAGCTGCATTCGGATGTATCTTTTGTTTCCGAAATTGACTTATCTCAATTAAATTTGTTGGAAAATATTTCAAAACACTTCAAATTAACAACGGTAGTAACGCGCTCAGCTGGTAGCTGACATATTTAAACCGCATAACAAATTCATGCAAATGCATTCCGCGTCATTATTAAAATTTTCAATGAAAAACAGAAAGCGCTTATAGCTAAGATATTTCAAGATGATTGAGGTGCGGTAGTCGCTACAAAAATTGATACCTAAATGGCAGTTAAAGGGAGAAAAAACCACAATTAGTCAAGTTTAAACTGTTAAAATGATTGATAACAATTAATGAATTAATTTTTTTTAATTTTATTTCCAAGAGTCTTGAGACCTTACTGCATTGTTTCGAGTGGTTTCAAATATGATAAATAAAATATACTTTGAAAATCGTATTAATTTTCGTTGATTGACTACCTTTTCTAATAAATTTATAATATTGCCTAATCACATTAAATATGTAAAAATCACAATAGAAACGCGATACAAAATTCGTTGTAAATAAAAAATGGCACGTTTATTTGTTCAGTCACTCATATAAGTCACATAAGTCACATAAGTCACATCAGATACTTAATATTTGATCAAACAAAAAAAATCAAAAAAAAACTATTTTTGCATACTCAAATTATGCATAACGATCTTGTTTTCGTTATTTATGTCATAGATCAAAACTATTTTTAAGTTCAATAATAAAAATGTGAGATTCAGTGATATTTCACTGAAAAATTAATATTAAAAATATTTTGTTTGTTTTACAAACTTGACCCCTACATAATCAATTTTGTTTAGCTCAGCAAATATCGTGAAGTCAAAAATCGGACAACTTTTTTTTATGTCTAAAATTGACTATTAGACTAAAGTGTCAAATAAGATTTGCATTTAAAATTATGACTATTGTTTCAAACTGATTGTGTAGATTTTGCTATTTGAGAAATGCCAAGAAAATCGCAAAAAAATATATTTCATTTAAAATGCATTTCTTTGTTTCATGAATGTAGCCACCTTGAATATTTCGGAATATTTTGTTAGCGTTACTACTATATATATGTAATATACCTTCTGCTCAAAAAGTACTCGGATTTTATAAATAAGACACAAATTTAAATTTTATTCCAAATTTATTTTATCTCCTTCAAAGCGATATGCTCCTTCTGAAGCGATACACATATGCCAACGCTTAACCCAATCTTCCATACACTTTTCATAGACCCGTGAAGGTACGGCTTTTAGTTCCTTCAGCGAATTCTCTTTTACCGATTCAATCGACTCAAAACGCTTACCACGAAGGGGCAATTTGATTTTTGGGAACAGAAAAAATTCGCACAGCGCCAGATCTGCCGAATATGGTGCCTGAGCGATGACAGTGGTGTCGTGTTTGGTCAAAAAATTGCGTACAATAAGAATTTTCCATAGTAAAAATCGCTAAATGCAGTTGAGGTAGTTTCACATTAACAGCTGCTGTAAACAAACTAATTGACAGATGGTGCTCAAATTTGTACCATATATCAAGAAAGGGTGTACTAACATAACAAAAAAAATTTTTTGAAAAAAATCTATTACTTAAGGAGTAGTTAACAAGCACCTTTACTTTTACCGGATACTTTTTGAGCAGAAGATATATAATTAATTAGTTGTTATTCTACAGCTGGTTTATGATTTTCTTCTAATATAAAGCAAAGTAACAAAATTTCAGAAAAATGCGCGAACATAAAAAGTCAAGTACGGTTTTGGGTAAGTTGGTTAAGATGCGCAGACTCTGAGCTTCAAATTTGGCAGGACACAACTTCGATTCCTGGTATTTTCAGTCTCAAAAAATTATTTACAAATAATTAAATTCCGGAAATAATTTCAAGACCACTAATGATGGGTATTTGGCAATAC